TAGCTGTTCCTCTGGAAGACAAACGTCGTAATAACGAATGCCCCCCCCCTCCCCCTCCTTTCTCTTAGCTTTTATTGCCGAGCAGACGTCGTACGGTATGGAATATCCCTTTGGTCAGTTTGGGTCAGCTGTCCTGGCCACGTTGCCTCCCAGGATCTTGCCCACCCCAAGGCTGCTGTTGGAGAGACAGCCGTGATGCTGTGCGAGCGCGGCTCAGCAGTAGCCAAAGCACTGCTGTGTTATCGGCACCTTTTAGCTACCAGTGCAGAGCACAGCGCTGTGAGGGCTGCTACGGGGAAAGTTAACGCCATCTCGGCCAGACCCAATACAGCTCCTCTGGAGGGATTCGAAATCTGGGGGCAAGGCGGGCTGTGCTCTGCTGGCTTCGGCATCCTCGTCTGGTGTTTACCGTCAAAAGTGGGAGATCCAGGCTTGGACTTGGTGGTAGGTAACTAGATACCACATTCTGCCTGTGAAGCAAACGGGACGATGCCCATGGCCAGGAGGGAGCAGAGTCTTCCATGCATCTCCCTGTGCTTTGCTAGAGAAAATCCTTCTTGAAGCCTTTAAAAGTCCAGTCCAGGTTGTGCCTGCTTGCCTGCTTTTCCTTGGAGAGGTGCCTCATCTTACAACATTCAAAGGAAGGAAGGGAAAAAAAAAAAGGATAGTTTTACATTCTCGTGGTTTTCAAAAGGACACGACAGGTTTTTTTATTAGTTTAGTGCTTGATCTCAGATTAGAAACGGAGCTTTAAGCGAGGCTGCTCCAGCTGGAAACAAACAACGGGCAGCTTTGGGGACATGTTCAAAACCTGTGCACTCCTGCAGTTCAGATGTGGAGGCACCAACACTGGAAACTCTCCTGGAGTTGTTTCTCAGCAGCAGCCTGCGCCTGAGCCCCGCAGCGGGATTTCGCTCACAGCTCCGGTGCAGCCTCCCGGATGTTTAGTGACAGCAGGAGAATAACACGCGGTTTATTGAGATGAGACTGTGGACTTGGGGTTCTAATTAAAACTGTCATTTATGGAGGGAATTAAGGTTTTGTTTGAATTCCCAGGATGCACAGGGCGGATGTGTAATTCATCCTGATCAACGTGTCGTGGTGACTTTGTTCTGATAGAGGCTTTAAAAAGATGTTTTCTGACCTGTTGGGTCCTCAAACACATTTTTTCTGTTAGTGCCTGGGCAAGGTAGAAACGCGAGGCTTTGCTCTGCTGAAATGTCTAACAAAGGGGTTCTCAGACTTGCCCTTTAGGTAACATTTAATGTGTCATGTGGGTGAGGAGTTTTATTAAAAAGAATCGGATTTGGCAGCATTCTGCCGTGTGTGGAAAGCTTTTCTGTCTCCCTGCCCCACCAAAGAAAAAGGAAGATTCAAATACCAGAGCCGCTGGTTGTTGGCTCTGAGCAAGCGGGGCTGGAGAGCCCAGCTCGCCGGGGTCCGGCGCGGTTTCACGGTGCCGCTGGCTGCTCTGATTTCCAGGCACGGGGCAAAGGATGCCCAAGCCACCCATTGAACCTGCGCCGTGGGGCTGCTGGAGTCACGTACCTGTGGTGGCTTCTCCAAGTGGAGGTCTTCTCCATTTCCCTGGTGCCCACCTGGAGAGACATCCCGGGCTTCGCCTTCCCTTGCATCTCCTTCATTTCTCTCAAATGAGGACATGCTCGGGAGTTTAGCTGTTTCCAGTTGTTATTTCATCAAAAATACAAGTGCCAGGGAAAGATCTGGTACGTGTTAGAGGTGCTTACATGTCCAAGTGCACTTGATAAGAAGTCCCTAGCTCCTACGTGAGGATAAAGATGATCTTGAAAGGCTGCTGGGCGTTTTCACACACCCTTATTTCTGGAGGTCGGGTGTGAGCTTGGTGCTGAGCTTGGCGCAGTGGACGGCTGCTCTCCTCTGCTGCCCGGTGGGACCAGGCTGAGAGCAAATGCTCTGGGTCTGGCCCTCAGTGGGAATAGGCTCTTTCCCCTCTTTTCAGAGCCACCATGTCTTCGTCGGACAACCGGCTGCCTGCCAGGAGGACACAGAGCCAGAGCGATCTGGGAAACCCATTTGCTTCTCTGCAGAGGCGCAGGCGACAGCCCCGGAGCAGAGGTGGTGGCACTCATGACCCATTTGTCTCTGCAATAAAGATCTGAGATTTCTGACCTCTGAGATGTTTTTGAATTCATAAATTATCAGCAACGCTAAGGGCATGGGTCACGCGCGCTGACCCCTCAGCAGTTTACAGGACCTTTTGCCTGTATTTTTCTCGCTGGAAGTGTTTTGCTGCCTCAGTTACCCCCCGCCTCCAGCTTTCCAGCTTGTCTGTACCACCAGCCCTTGCCTGGGCTCAAGTACCAGCTGCTTCAGTCGCGTCTGGCACCGCTGATGCCCCGTGGGAGATGGGTGATGGAGCCCAGACTCCCTGCAGTGGATGGGCAGAAAGGGTCGGCGCTGGCGA